CTCGGCCCTGGCCCTCACTAGCCTGACCTCACAGTGGCTGTGCTGCAGCTTTAACTGTGTGTAGCATGAAGGGGCCTGACAGGCCTAGCATGGACGGTGTGTGGTGGAAGAGAGGTTGGAACACCCAGGCCCCAGAGTACTATCTTACATGAAAGTCTGTGTTGCTGGCCACCACCTATCCCCAGGCTGGTCTGGTATCTCGAGAGGATGCAGAAAAACTCCTCATTGCCCTGGAGCCTGAGGCTGCCTCCGTCTACTGTCGAAAGCTTCGCCTGCACCAACTCATGGACCTGAGTAGCCGGACCGTAGGTGGTGGGCGCCTGGGTGAGCGCAGATCCATTGACTCCAGCTTTCGCCATGGTGAGCTGTCAGGGTTTCTGCCTAGTGCTGGTTTCAAGGCAAGAACCCTTGAGAGGTTGGAAGGTTAGCTATGTCTAGGATGGAAAGGGGGAGTCACCATCCTGAGGGACCCAAGATCCCTGGTGGAGTTCAGTGTGAAGGAGACATGGCCCTGGCTCCAGGACCCCAGGTTGGAGACAACCTCACCTTGACCAAGGAAGGAGTCCGAGGGTCAGGTGCTCAATGAACACTAACAAGGGAGCAAGCTGGGTTCCAGCCTCCTCTTCAGAGGCTTTTCCTTAAAACAACCACTCCATCAACTGTTACCCCACATCAACCCTGCCCTGCCCCTCAGCAGCCAAAGCTCTTGCAGCCAGACCCAGGCACTCAGGCCAAGAACAATTGGGGTCCATTTTGGTCATCCTCCTAAATGTGATCTCCCTAGAAGGGAGAGGCCACAAGTCCTGAGCTTACCTGGGACACTTGGCAATACTTCTCTCAGATCCCTCAAAGCCTTTGGGGCCTGATTGTGCCAGGGCCCGTTCCCTCTGTGTCAAGAAGTCCGGTATCCGGAGGTGCTTCTAACTGTTTCTAGTGCCTGGGATTGGGATCAGTGTTGTTGAAGTGCCAGCGACAGCCTTGGTGAGGAGAAGGGTTGAGAGTGGCAGCTCCTAACCGCACTGTCCTGCTGTGCCCAACCCCAGCCCGGGAGCAGCTGCGGAGGTCTCGCCACAGCCGAACATTCCTGGTGGAGTCTGGTGTGGGAGAACTGTGGGCAGAGATGCAAGAAGGTGAGACAATGGGGTATGAAGGAACACCTCAGATAACGTAGAGAACCTGCAGGAACTGTGAAGGGCCCATCTGTGCAGCCTTCATCTTCCCTCGGTCATCTATACCCCATCTGCTTGCAACTGCCCCCTACCTAACTCATTCTTCCATGAGATTCTGTTCTATGTTCAAGCCTCAAATCCTTATTTGGTAGCCTGAGATGAAGCCCTTCACCTCCCTCCCCACTCCTATTCTGTCCCCCAAGGCTGGGCTTGGAGCAGGGTCGGAGACTGGGGACGGGAGGTACAAGGCTGAAAGTGAGAGACAGGCCTTTAATTTTACCTGTATCGGCCGTGCAGGAGACCGCTACATGGTGGCAGACTGTGGGGGTGGCACTGTGGACCTGACCGTACACCAGCTGGAGCAGCCTCACGGCACCCTCAAGGAGCTCTACAAGGCTTCTGGCGAGTAGACCAACCAGAACCCATGTGACCCAGATCGCACAGGGCCTCTGTCGTCCCCTGGTGGCCTATCTGGCAATGACACCCTCTCTGTCTCCCACCTGCTGCAGGCGGCCCTTATGGTGCAGTGGGGGTGGACCTGGCCTTTGAGCAGCTGCTCTGCCGCATATTCGGAGAGGACTTCATTGCCAAATTCAAAAGGCAACGGCCAGCAGCTTGGGTGGATCTGACCATTGCCTTCGAGGCCCGCAAACGCACTGCAGGCCCGCACCGTGCAGGAGCACTCAACATTTCCCTTCCCTTCTCTTTCATTGATTTCTACCGCAAACAACGAGGCCACAACGTGGAGACTGCCCTGCGCAGGAGCAGGTGTGCCAGGGACAGGGCTCAGGCAGTGTTTGCTAATGTGGCCTGCCCTTGCAAGGGAGAGTCGTGGGTTCCAGGGCCTGGTCAGTTCCACACACATAAACCGTGCCAGCTGAGACAGTGGCAGGAGGCAGGGTGTGAGTGCTGGGTGGTGGGGCAGGTTTATCAGCAGTCTGGAATCCGCAGTCCCCAAACTGGAGCGCCATAAGGGACAGAGGTTGCAATTTTTATCTTCTCCCTGTCCCACCCTGCTACTCAGTGCTCTCGGCTCTGCTACACTGAAGTAAAGGTAAGCTGTTTGTGACCTCCTGAGTGAGCAGGGCAGACAGAAGAGTTGGGCTGGGGATAAGGGCAGGTGTCTACCCTTTATACCCAAAGGGAGGACCCCTGACTAGAAGTTGCAGCAAACAGCTGGGCTGACCCATGGACTTGTGTGTCTCCTTCACATCCTACAGTGTGAACTTCGTGAAGTGGTCTTCACAGGGGATGCTCCGGATGTCCTGTGAGGCTATGAACGAGCTGTTTCAGCCCACGGTCAGTGGGATCATCCAACACATAGGTGAGTGCCTGGAGGCCCCCTCATCCTCAAATTCAGGTTCAGAAATAATTCCTTTTATCTATGCCTGTAAAACACCATACATCCTTACCTTGGGGTGAAACCCAGAATTGTCTGTAATACCTGGAGCAAACAACACATTGTGATTAAGGAATTGCTTATAGCCCTGCCACGTTAAAGGAGGCCTGATGTCCCCATTTCCCCATTTTGTAAAGGGTACTAAATGAGCTGATAGTGTATATAGAATGGGCACACTGCCCTGAACAGAGTAAATGCATTCCTGAGTCTTACCCTTAACGGGATGGTAGCAAAGGTAGGATGTTTTGGTCACTGATCAGGCAGGATCAGTGAGGCATGTAAGGACCCTTCAGTGAAAGCTGTTTTCTATGGAATGACTGGCTTTCAGATGCTTTTAGAGTCCCTGTGGGGCTGGGCATGGTGGTGCATGCCTTTAATACCAGCCCCTGGGAGGCAGAGACAGGTGAATCTCTGTGAGTTCGAGTCCAGCCTGATCTACAGAGCTCCAGAACAGGCCCCAAAGTTACAGAGAAACTCTGTCTCGAAAACCCAAATCCCCCAAAAAGAGTACTGGTGGGAGCAGCAGAACAGCCACTTACCATGAAATGGTGACCCTTAGTGACTCTGTCCCCTTCTGTCTCTTCCTGAACCCCGCCCTAAACCTGTCCCTGCCCTGCAGAGATGTTGCTGGATAGGCCTGAGGTACAGGGCGTGAAGTTGCTATTCCTGGTGGGCGGCTTTGCAGAGTCGGCTGTGCTACAGCATGCCGTACAGACAGCGCTGGGCACGCGGGGCCTGCGCGTTGTGGTCCCGCACGATGTGGGTCTCACCATCCTCAAAGGAGCAGTGCTCTTTGGCCAGGCACCAGGTGTGGTGCGGGTGCGCCGCTCCCCTCTCACTTATGGCGTGGGCGTGCTCAACCGTTTTGTGCCTGGCCACCACCCACCGGAGAAATTGCTGGTTCGGGATGGGCGCCGCTGGTGCACTGATGTCTTTGAGCGCTTCGTGGCAGCAGAGCAGTCGGTGGCCCTGGGAGAGGAGGTGCGGCGCAGCTACTGCCCTGCGTGCCCGGGCCAGAGGCGTGTGCTTATCAATCTGTACTGCTGTGCTGCGGAGGATGCACGCTTCATCACTGACCCTGGGGTGCGCAAGTGTGGCGCACTCAGCCTGGAGCTTGAGCCTGAAGGCTGCCCGGGAAACACAGGCACTTCCCCCAACCGCCGTGAGATCCGGGCTGCCATGCAGTTTGGCGATACGGAGATTAAGGTCACTGCTGTGGATGTCAGCACCAATCGCTCTGTGCGAGCAGCCATTGACTTTCTCTCCAACTAAGAGCGCCCCTTTTGTTGGGGACACAAGAACATGCTAGTTTTCATAGCAGCGCCCCTTTCTCCTTACCCTGAGAGAAATGTGGTAAGGACACATGGAGACTTGCTTTGGGATTGGGCCTTGGTCTGCAGACTGAAACACTAAAAGTCCCCTTATTCCAACAGAGAACGCCAAGAGGTGAGGTGGTATAAGAGACTTCTAAGGGGTTTGTTAGAGGATGAGCGGGCCTTGGCAGGTGTGTGACCACGAAGACAGACTGCAACAGGGGACTAAACACTGGCCTGAACTTGAGGGTTGAGAGGAAGGTTAAGCAAAACTGCTGAGGAACCAGGCAAGGTGCAGAACTGGGCCCGAGGGTCGGTGTTCACTAACTGTTGAGCTCTAGCCACAGGAAGCCAGAGAGCAGTTTCATGCGGGGCAGGCAGGGGGTGAGGGTGTGTAAGCCCATGCTAAAGGGACAGGTGTGAAGACTGTTAATTGCAGAACAGTGGCCGACAGGAGGAGGGTGCATTGTTACAGAGAAGGCAGTTTGGAGGGGATGTGGACACAGCGTGCACAAAGGACCCATGAGCAGCTTATAAATGACCCATTTGCCCCCAACCCAGCCACAGGAGGACAGAGTTCACAGGGGCGAGGCAGGGGGTGTCCCAGCTCTGCCACTTAATCAGGATAGTATACCGTTAGGAAATCTGACCAGCCGTGGGCCTCAGTTTCTCCAAGTGTGGAATGGCAGGCACTTCCAGCCAACTTGACCTGCCTGAGAACTTGCCTTAGGTGAAAATAAAGCATCTGTGGTCAAGAAAAGCAGCAGTCTCCTGGAACCACCAGAGTGGGGAGCCTCGTAAGTGGGAGCAATGTATGAAGTACAAGTACCAGAGAGAAGGAAGACCGTTTTCAGCTGCACAGATACAAGGGACTCGGCAAGGAGCTGCTGCTTTCTGTCTGTCCAGCCTCAGAGTCCCTGAAGACTGCTTTATGGCCTAGGCAGGAGGCACCTCCCACCCAAATTAAGCATCTGGTCCCAGGCCTAAAAGACATCCATCCCCTTAGGGTGCTAATGCCACAGCTTCATGTGGTACCCCTTCCTCCAGATGAAACCGCCCCATCTGCGAAGGATAGGGTAGTCTCCCAACCCCAGAGAACAAAAGGCCCCCACTGCTATCTACTGGAACTTTTATTTATTAAGGACTCTATCCCAACCGGTCATTAAAAACCAAGTACCACAGACCTGAGGGGTAGGAGCTGGGAACAGCAGTGGGGAAGATGAGGGACAGCAGAGGTGGCGAAGGCGAGAGGACAACAGCAGCAGCAACGGGGCACCAGTGTCACACAGAGCCACTCCGTCCTCCCCCGGTCCCTAGCTGCAGCCCCTATGGCTTGGGTGGGGGAGGTAAATCCCACCCCAGGTCCCTCCTCTCAGATGGCCTCCTTAGGACTCAACCCATTTCTTCAGTCAGGAGACTCAGGCACATGGGAGAGGAGGAAGAGGGAAAGGGGGCCATGGGTGAGGCAGGACGGTGACAGGAATGAAGGCAGAAGTGGGAGGCATGAGCAAGGTCTAGCCCGGCCACGCCCACCCAGGGGAGAGGCGAGGAAGCCACACCATCACGCAGCATGTCGGGAAGCAGGTGGAATTTAAGGCTCAGGGGCTCAGGCAGGCAGGTAGGCAGGCAGGCAGGGCCCCAGGCCTCAGTCAAAGCCGTGCCAGTCACTGTGTTCTGAGTCGTACTCCAGCTCAGCGCCCACACACTTGACACCATCCAGCAGCATGGGTGTACCGTGGTGCCGGTCTGCAAGGCAGGTGCCACAAGTTAGTGTGCTGGCTGATTCCACAGGGACCTCTCCCTCGAATTGGCTGGGGATCCTGGGGAGGACCCTGCCAAGGAGATTAGACACCCCACCCCCACACCCCCACCCCCGTCAGCTTCAAGAATCTCTCGAAGCCGGTCTCATGCCTCCTTCCGGCCAGACCTACCCTACTCTCACTCACCCATGACCCGTGCCTGCACCATCACACGCACACAGGTGCCTGTGTCACCTTCGCAGGCCAGCAGCATCTCCTCTTTGAGGACGCCCTCTTTGTGTGCTGAATACTCACACTTGATGCTGTAACCTGCCGGAGGACAGGATGGAGGGGCAATCAGTACCTCCCACAGCTCCTCTGTTTTGTCCCCAGCACTCACAGTCCTCTACCCAATAAACCTTGCTGAGCCTCTTCCAGAAAGAGGCGCCGTGCCGTTAGTCAGTCCCTCCAGAGACCCAGCCCTACAAAGCTAGCACAGAACTTAAGAAATTTCCCGTTCTTTCAAATAAGGTCAGTGTGTCTCTGGCCTAACTCAGCATGGCCCTCGAGATCCAGTCATCCTTCTAAGAAAATGGTCCCCCCGGTGCCATATGGGAAGCCGGGAAGGTGACAGAGAACAAGGAGAGGTTGTCAGAGTGGGCTATGAGCAGACGGGAAGGCAAGAGGAAAGGCCTTCCTGGGTTCACCGACGGGCAAGCCGTCACCAAGCAGTAGTGGTGGGCACATGGGAGCGAAGCTGGAGCGCAGCAGCGTACCCTGACACTAGCATTCCAATCTCTCCAGCTTGGGGATCAGGAGTGGGACAGGACCAGAAGCCAGCCGCAGAAGCAGCCTAGAACCCACAGCCAGAAACTAGTGCTAGGTATTAGCCATCCGAAGTTGTCCAGCTCCAGCCTTTTTATCTGGGAAGATGAGAAGGAAGACAGTCCTCAGTGGAACCTCTCAGTGAGGGTATCGTCAGGCAGTGGGCAGGTGCAAACCCGCAGTGTAGGAAGGCAAGGGCTGAAACCGCTGTGTTCCCACACTGGAAGCTCAAGGAGGTGCCATGCCCCTGACTTTTGCCGAGCTGCCTATTTACCCCACCCAGGGAAAGGGCAAAGAACCTCACATTCTCACTCCCACTCACAGCAGGCTGTCATGGCTTGAGGGCAGGCCTCTAGCAGCCCAGGAGAGGACCTACCTTCAGGGATGGAAGTAACACTGAGGAGCTTGAGGTGCAAGCTGTGGACAGGGGCTTCACGGATGTCTTTGCTCAGCCTGCGCACTGGAGGCAGAGTGAAGGTGATCTCATACCTGTGTAGGATCTTCAGGAAACCAACCTGCAGCGACAGGAGGAGGAGAGAGGCATCTTCACCCGCTCCTCCCAGGGCTTTGGAGTCTGCCGCCTATGCTGCTGCAGGGCCCCGGAATCTGCTTTCCTGGGAACCTAACTCTCGTTACTCTCCAGCTGTCCACCCTCATGGCTCCAGGCCTCTTCACAGAATCCCTTCCTCTTAAGGCCAGCACCATCCCTGGCGTCTGTCTCAGAGGCCCCACAGGCCTCAGTGGTCAGTTTTATAGGTAAGAATGTACAAGTCAGGAAATGGCTGCCTAGAGGTCACATAGTGAACATCAGAAAAGTCCTTCCTAGACCCCGTGGTCACTCCTGTCCTGTGTGGTATACAGTAAGAAATCAGCCGGTGCCAGGCAGGGGGAGCTCAACACCCAGCCCCTGTCCAGACCCAGCAGCCAATATCAAGAACAAAACAAACAAACAAACAAAAACACAGTAAACCAGCTGTGGGAGTCCACAGCTGGCCACAAGCCAAATATTAACCACTAAACCTGTGATCCTATCTGCTGACACATGATAATGATGGCTGCCTACCTGCCCACTCAGAGGTACCATGTGACCAGTGACCTCTGCTCATGGCCCAAGCAATTTCTGTCGTCCAGATACACTGCTTGGCCAACCAGTGTTATCCCTCTGGGACAGACGCCTTGGGAAATGTTTGGTGTAAAGGGTCATAAGCTAACATGGCTGCTGAGCATGTTGGCATTTATGAGCCAGGTACAGTAGCTCACATCTACCCCCAGCACTAAGGAGACCGAGGCAGTTGGGCTGCCACAAGTTTGAAGCCAGTCTGAGCTACCTACTGAGTCTTAGGCCAGCCTGGCTACACTCTCAAAACAAAGAGCTGGGCATATAGTTCAGTTGGTAGAGTGCCTGTCTGGCATGCATGACCCTGGGTTTGATCCCCAGCACCAAATCAAATCAGACATGGTGGGGCATACCTGTATCCCCAGCACTCTAGAGGTGGGGGCAGAAGGACCAGCAGTTCAAGGTCATCCTTGGCTACACAGCCAGTTCAAGGACAGCTTGAAGTACATGAGACCCTGTCTCAAAAAACAAAACAACACAATATTTTTTTAAATTTGGGGTTTTGTTTTTCATTTATTTATTGGGGGTAAGAGGTGGGCTTAACACACACGCTGTAGTGCTGGGAGGGCAGAAACCAACTTGCTGGAGTTGGCGCTAAGCTTCCACCATGTAGGTCCCAGGGACCACGCCTAGGGAGTCAGACTTGCCAAGTACCTTTACCTGCTAAGTAAGCCATGTCATTAGCCCTCAAAAAATGTTCAGGCCTAGTGAGCTGGCGCAATGGGTTAAAGGGTGCTTGCCACTGACCTGGCAACCTGAATCTAGCCCCCAGGACCCACATGGTAGAACTGACTCTTGCCAAGTTGTCCTTCCCAAAAATAAATAAATGTAAAAAGTAAAAAGGCTTTCTGGGAGCTGGTAGGATGACTCAGTGGATAGAGGCACTTGCCACACCAGCCTTGGACCTGGCTTCAGTGCAGTCTGAAGGAGGAAGGAGAGAAGTGACCCCACACAGTTGTCCCCTGACCTCTACGTGTGCACTACAGCAATGCAGTATGGGCGCACACTGTCACCATTTTAAAGACTCTGACTATATTTGTCTGCTGTGACCTGGGGCCCAGCTGTCCCACTTGCACAATTTACCAGGGAGATACTCAAAGATGCCAGGACGATGCTGATGAACAGCTACATTACAGCAGGACTGGAAACAACAGGAGCACCCAGGGACACAGAAGCAGCCATGGCATATGCCAAATACCAGATGGGGTAAAATCTCACTGAAAATTATTTTCTAGCAGGCAGGAAACAGTTTGCAAACAGAAGCAAGCAAAAAATACCGTGTCCACTGTGATACTAGCTTTAGGAAACAAAGCTTTGAAAACAGTGCAGTAAGATCTTCCCCAGGGTCACTTCTGGGTGGTGTGAGTATGACTATGGCTACACTTGACTTTCCTGTTAAATTTTTAGTGCCTTTTTAGTGGAACCATCAGCTGCAGAAGAGTGAATAAAGGCTTTAGAATTGGTCAGAAATGAATACGAACCTTGGACCTCTCTGAGAAGGGCAGCAAGCCTGTGGGGCTAGTCTCCATGGACCAGCCCTCTGGCCTCTCACCACAGGGCACTCCTGCTCAACTCTGGGACCCTGTCTAAAGGCCTCAATTCTCATTCTCCCCAACCCAGTCCCTCCAACAATTCCTTCCTGTCCCTTCCTAGCACATGTGGAACCTAATAGCATCCAAGCAGTTGAAGGGGTCATGCTCCTGGGTATGTGAGGTTTCATGCGCCATGAATAACAGTGCTACTAAGTAAAAGATTCAGGGCAAAGCTGACACAGCTCAGTAGAAGTGTGTGTTTAGCATGCACAAGGCCCTAGGTTCCTTTGAGATAAAACCACTACAAGGAGCCAAACCAGGCAAAGAGTAAAAACTAACACCTCATCATCACCATAATTAGCGACATTACACACACACATCCTTTCATTCTCACAGCAACTTTGTGGGGCGTGAATAGCCAGCTAGTGCGATGGCTCAGCAAGTAAAGACTTGCAGCCAAGGATGATGACCAGAGTCTGAGCCTTGGAGCCCACAAAGTGGAGGAAAGAATAGACTCATGCAAGTTGTCCTGTGACCTCCGTGGCAAGCACGCTTCCACAAAACAAATAAAGGTAAGAAACAGAAACACAGGGAGGGAGGAGACAAATGGGAGCAAACTGCCCAAGGCCACAGAGCCAGGACAGCATGCCTACATCTGACCCAGACCCATGACACCTCAGCCTCCAACCAGCTTTCTATGGCTCTTGTCTGGATTAGGCCAATGACAGTAGCCTTGAGTCAAATGACACTTGTTTAAATCACTCACTGATTCCCTTACCTCCCATTTTACAGATGAAGAAACCAAGGCTCAGAGAGGTAAAGATGTGCCTGTGAACTCAGCTGTGGAAGGGGGTCATATAGTTAGGGTAGTTTCTAGAAGCCAGGATAGAGGAAGGTGAAGTGAAGCTGATGACAGGGAGTTCACATACCTTGACTAGAAAGCTGTTGTCACTCTCCTGAGTAACCATGACAACGGAGTCATGCAGCTTTTCATCAAAGTGGACATGGCTCTGGGAGCCTTCTGCATCATGGCCTGCTGCAAAGCGGATACTTCGGACTCTGGGCTTATTGCCTAGGAAGAGGAGGAGAAGGCTCCAGGGGCTGCTGGATTCACTTACCTCCTCATTTCCTCCCCATGCCCAGACTTAGCATACACTGATGAGGCCCCTTCCAGGTAGATACTGTTAATCTTGAGGCCTGAGCATCCCCCCCACACACACACACCTCCCTGTGTAGTCTTCCCACAAATATGCACTCCTCGGTATAAATAGAAGAAAGAGTTGCCAGGTACTGGTGGTTCATGCCTTTAATCCAAGCACTGGGGAGGCAGAAATAGGCAGATCTTTGTGAGTATGAGGCCAGCCTGGTCTACAGAGAGAGTTCCAGGACAGCCAAAGAAATGCTGTCTGGGAAAACCAAAAACAACAAAACAAAACAAAGATTCTGGGACTGGCTGATATGACCCCTCACTTGGAGAGAGAGGTTGGCACTTTCTCTACCATCATGCAGTACAGAGATGGACCCTCCACAGTGTCACGTTCTCCATCCCTGGCATCTATTTTTTATTTGTTTGTATGTCTGTCTGTCTCAGTTTATATGCATAATGTGCAAAGCAAGAAGGCACTGGATTTGCCAGGTGTGGTGGCATAGACCTTTAATCCTTTGGGAAGCAGAAGGCAGGTAAATCTTTGTGAGTTTAAGGCCAGATAGCACTACACAGTGAGACCCTGTCTTTTGTTTTGTTTTTCAAGACAGGGTTTCTATGTATTGCTTTGGAGCCTATCCTAGAACTAGCTCTGTAGACCAGGCTGGCCTCACAGAGATCCCTCTGCCTCTGCCTCTCTGCCCCTCTGCCTCTCTGCTCCTCTGCGCCTGCCTCTGCCTCTGCCTCCTGAGTGCTGGGTAGGACTAAAGGCATGAGCCACCAACTCCCAGTGAGATCCTGTCTTTAAAAAAAAAAAAAAAAAAACAGGAATAGATACCCCAGGAACTAGATTTATAGGTAGCTCTGTGCTGTCTGATGTGGGTGCTGGAAACTCAACCCGGGTCTTTGGTAAGAGGACTGCTGAGCCATCCCCTCAGCCCCACTAATAGTGTCCCTTCCACGTTTGTTAAGTGTATGAGATAGGCCCAGCCTGAGACTCCTGATAACCCCAACCAACCTGGGGAACAGCGATAAGAACAAATTCTAGGGAATATAGTTACAGTAGGAGAAATGAGGTGTTAAAAAGCACACTTTTGAAAAACAAACAAAACAGCTGGCCATGAAAAGGCTGTAGGTGCCACTCAAGATAATGGCCACTAGCAGCTTAGAAGCTGAGAAGCCTCCCAGTCCATCCCACACTGTTTTCTCCTCTGCTAGTGTAGATGAGACGTATTAGCTATCACTGTGATGTGTTGGGATTCCTAAGGCCAGAAAGGACAGGGATTAAGACATACTGAGTGGCTAGGATATGGCCAAGAAGAGCCTGGACATTCAGCCTATAGGAAGGAAGGGCATGATCCCAGTCCTCTGTGACCCTCCAGCAAGGCTTTAAGCCCCCCCCCCCAAGAGCCTGATCCAGAATGATTTTGGTGGGAGGGCCTGAATTGGCATTGGCCTAAGTTCTTGGATACTCAGTAGAAGCTCTGGGATCCAGTCAGACAAAACCATCATCCCTGTTGAGCCCCCGTCAATGTGATTCTCAAATCTTACCAGGTTTCCTTTGCCTAAAGCTTTCCAGATTCATGTTGATCCAGGTCTATGATGTTCACCCCAGCCCTTCATGTCCTTTAAGACTGCTACCAGTGGAACAAAGGTACTGACACATGGGGACACAAAAGCATATACTTCCATAGAATGGCAAACCCAGGAGCCAGCAGGAGTCCCTGCTAGGGCCTGGGTGATCTCCTGGACCCAGGACAGGCACTGGCATATTCTGAACAACACTGAGACATACCACATTCAGGGCTGAAACAAGATCAATATGCAACAATACTCCATCTGCCAGGGGTCACTCCAAGCGCTCATACAAACCTACAGACGCAGGAAAGCACTTACCTCTGTTGGCTGCAGCCATGGACACCTTCCCTGCCACTGGGCAAGACACACAGCTCCTGCTTGACACTGCCACTCAAGCTCAGCAGCCTGCCATGCTCCAGAGACAAGGGCAGGAACCTGAAGGATGAGGTATAAGGAAAGTAGGAGTCAGGACCACCCATCAGCCCATGGGAAAAACCTTTGTTGCTTTCAGAAAGTACAGGGACATCTGCTTGACCCCTCTAACGCACACATCTCCACCCAGCCCTGACTGATATCCAACTAGCTTCAGTTTCCAAAGTGCCAACTGAGAATTCGTTTGTCCAGCCAACCTAAGGCTGGCAAGAAAGACAGCTCAGAAAGAAAGGAGGCTTTACTGGAATTTTTCAGAGGCTATTTCTGGCATTGCTAACCCCAAAGGGCAGCCCAAAGGATTATATTATTCAGGTATACACCCAGTTCAAGTGGATACAGATCAGTCAACAGTAGGCTTGATGCGGGCAAGAATAGATGTCCTCATAAGATTTCATATTCATATTCTGAGAGTCAGTCAGAACCACATATAGAGCAGAGTCCTATGGAGGGGGTGTGCTCCTTTCTGAGCCTGATATTCAGACCCTAACCTGACTCATGGAGGACCCAAGGGCTGCCTCAGTGTGAAAGTAAGTCTAAGGAGCTGCTGAGATGGACCAACAGGTAAAGGCACTTGCTGGCAAGCCTTATTACCTGAATTTCCTCTGAGGTACCCACATGACAGGAAAGAAACAACTCCTGCACTTCTCCTCTGACCTCCATACTTACACTGGCTAGTGCATGTGCAAGTGTACACACACACACACACACACACACACACACACACACACACACACACACCAAAAGAAATAAAATAGAAAAGAATAACCATGTGGCATTCTTAGGATGCCTCTGATGGGTAGGGTGGAGCCCATTTAAACATCAAAAGAATAGTGAGGGCACATGGAATACACAAAACCAGCAAACACAGAGATTACAAAAAAGGCAGAAAGCAATCCAAACAAACACAAACCCTCATGTGTCACCACTGAGGGCAGCAGTGCTCAACTCTCTGCTATGGAAACTGTCAATTAAAGAGAAATAATACAGCCTATATCTTGTAAGTGAACTGCCTTCTTTAGAGGCAACTTCCTGCTTATAACAAAGGATCAAATGCTAAGTCATCTGAACTCCTAAAGAAACAAATGCCAGAGGCAAGGGCACTCAAGATCCTGAACCATGAGACACTACACAGATGCCCAGGTAGCATTAACAGATGATCTATTGATCCTAAGGGAAAATTACTCAAGATTGCAATAAGGAGATATAATACTCACTGTGGGACAACCAACACATTCATGCCTCCTGATGTGAGACAGCCTGATGCAGTCACAGCATCTGTGACAAAGGATGACTGATGAAGATGCTTAGACTAGACCTAACTGACCTCCGTGCCCAGCTTCTTAACACTAAAAACATGGGATGGTAGAACAAATTAAACATCTGTGAGTGTGCAATGGCACACTGTGAGTGTGCAATCCAAAAGGCAGGATATGCCACAGGACAACTGACCTGTTTCTTTCAAACTTGCAAGGGGGTGGGGGATGGGGAAACGACAGGGAGATTGTTCTAGATATAGAACTGGGCCGCAGCCTGTTTTTGTTTATTTGAAAATAAAGTTTCATTGGGCCACAATTCCTCTTGTTCATTTGCATGCCATTTGTGACAGCTTTTGCACTAAAACAAAACTACTTTGAATAACTGTAACAGAGAGTATATGGCCTACCCAATCTAAAATGTTTATCTATCATCCTGTGTTAGATTTACACACGTAAAGCACCACGAAGGTAAAAAAATTCTACAAGAAAGCCTACCCTTTCCACCTCATCAGTTACAAGAAATGGTGGAAGGAGCTTCTAGCTCCCTATAAAAAGAAGACATCTGCAGGGCTGGATGGCCCAGCAGTTAAATGTACTGCTTTGCAGAGGACCTGAGTTCAAGTCCTAGAACCAATGTCAGACAGCTCACAACTGCCAATAACTCCAATTTCAGGGGATCTGAAAAACCTCTTCTGGTCTCATCTTGGTACCCACACTCATGAGTACAAATCCCCCACAGAGATACGTACATACAATTAAAAATGAAATAAATCAAGAGGGTGGACATTTGGAACTGAATGTGGTGGCACAGCTTTAATCTCAGTACTGAGAAGACAGAGGTAGGTGGATCTCTATGAGTCTGAGGCCAGCCTGGTCTACATAGAAAGGTGGTCTTAAGAGAAAGAGAGAGACAAAGAGACAAATATTTGGAAACCTGGAGATGTAACTCGGTAGTAGAGTGCCTACTTAACATGTGGCATGACCTCAGCACTGCATAAATTAATAAAAGACATGAGAAGGACTGGAACAATGATTAAGAGCACTTGGCTGTTCTTACAGAGGACCTAGGTTCAGCTCCCAGCATCAACACAGCAACTCAAAACCAGGGGACTGATACCTTTCTGACATCCTCAGCTACAAAGAAAGTTTGAAGCCAGTCTGAAATACTGATTTTATCCAGTGAGGGAGTGGGATTGTACTATAAATGTATGTCCATATTTTTCAGAGAAGCACACTGAAGTGTTTAGAGATGAGTGACCCAGGAATGACCTTGGATAGTCCAGAGATTGAATAAAAGCCGCAGAGCAATGTACTAGTCAATGGCTGGGTCTGTCCAGGGCATGAACTCAAGGTCCCCTGTGTACTGAGGAGTCCTGGGAACCACTGGGAATGAAGTTGGCCTGTCTTTCTTCCCCACTGCCTATTGCCAGACAAGCCCACCCAGACTTAGGTTAGGGTGTTCACAGCTTGGGTCTCAGGACAGCCCTGGCAGGAAAGAGGCCTCAAGAGATACATGGAAGTCCAAGATTTCAGACTGTGGAATGCAGAAGCAGGCAGAACAGTAACAGACATCATCAACCCCCCTCACAGAAGCTACTTCCCAGGCCCTGGAATGAAGAGAGGCAAGCTGTGCCCTGCTCACCTATGGTGAGGGTGGCTTGGTCAGCTTGCCTCCAGGGAGCCTAGCCTCGGAAGAGTTGACTCCTATTAACATTCCTAAAGTGGTAGGTTCCACTTTAGGCTGTGACAAATGACCAGGGTGGCTGGCCTTCTTCCTTGCAGTGGCTGTTCCAGACATACTTCTACAACCCTGGGACACCATGGTCCAGTGTCCATACCTTAAGACACTTCCTAGAGATGTGGGTGAAACTTGACCAGCAAAGGCTCCCGTGAGCCCTTTTCTGATCTGGAGTAGTCCAAGTCTACCTTTGCCCAGGCCCTCAGCCAAAAATTCCCCAACTGCCATCTACACTTAAGCTCAGCCCCAGCCCTAGCATCTTCTTTTTAGGAAAGCAACACACATGCCACTCCAAATGCCGGGGAGGGCCTAGCAGCTGCCCCTCTCACTCTCTGATTACTTGTTTTCAATCTTTCTTACCATAAAGGGCATGACTGTAGCATTGCCACATCTCCAGCATCCATCAGAGCACCAGAGAGGAAGGTGAATTCAGTTTACATTAGCTGACTGAATAAATGACATTCTGAGGGAAACCCCACTAGGACAGATATGGTGTGGGTAGGGCCAGTGACCCTCAGGAACTTCTCACCCTACTCTCTTAGCCAACTCCTGCTCTGAAAGGCAACCTCCTCCCAACTGAGGTTTCCTTCCACCCTTCTTCTGGAGGGTTACGACAGCCAGTTGGTTCCCTGCTTGTGCCCATCCTGAGATGAGCAAGCTGCTGAAAGCAAGATCTCCATTTCCTGCAGTGGCCAGGAACTGCCTGTAACCCTGGGAACCATGAGGCAAGTAATTGCAAGGACCCACAAGAGCCTGGAAAACCAAACCTCCTTTCACAACAGACAACCTGCCAGTGGCTGCCCCATGGGAGCTACACTCATCCACACAAGTTCCTCATTAGAAGCAGGAAAAGAGGCCACTGAGCCTCCCCCACTGTAGTCCCGTCCACAGGGAACTGCAGGCCACCTCACAACCCCTAGCCTTGCACCTGTACTAGCCATATTCCTACTGTCACCCAAATCACACAGACCCCCAGGGGCAGCAGTCAATCTAATTCAGATTCTGCCCTTGTTGGCTGTACAGATGAGCCATTTTATTTCTCAGACAGAGTATAAACAGTGACCTGTTCTTCCCAGGGCTTGGTGCAGCTGTACCTAAAACACTGTGAAAATGTTCCCACCTCAATCCCCAACCACTGCAAAAACAGCTCTGAGGGCCCAGTTCCTAGAGCAAAGGCAATTTCACTGGAAGAAAAGCACCAGAAAACAAGCACTTCCGGTCAGTCTTGGAGGGTTCCACAGGGAGTTCAGTCTCTGAAACTAGCTAAAAGGTTAAAGGGGCATCTCTTGCCTTCCCTTCCCTTCTTTCTCCCTCATTCCCTAGGATCCAAGTTCCCAGGAGACTATGGAGAAGGCTGCTGAGCCTTTCCTGCTTCAGCCCCCTCATCTGGCAAAGCAGATGATGCCCCTGTGCTTAGGTGGCTGTCAACAAATCAGGAGTGAGAGGAGTGAAAACTGGGTATGGCAGCAGGCAAACTTGGGAGGCAGAGGCAGGGAGACCAGGAACCCATGGGCATCCTTGGCTACACAGTGATTTTGAGGACAGCATGAACTACAATGAGACAATATCTCCAAATAAGTAAACAGATAGGCAGATAAATAAATAAAACAACCTGTACAAATCAGGGATGATATCCTGAAGAGCTGCAGGATTAGGAAGATTGGAAAGCTGAGGCCTTGGGGATGCTTTTAGGGAAACTGGAGTAACAGAAAAGCTTTATGGGTACCTTTCCTAAGATCTAGCATGTGGGTAAACAGCTGGATGGTTACAGAAAAACCCAGGCCTTGCCTGAATCCAGTTCTGGCTGCAACTCCAGCCTACCCTGTTCTAGTGCTCAAGCTCCAAGCTAAGAGCCAAAGGTGGTTTATTCATGGAAAAGCGAGATTCTTTTCCATGCAATTGTGACTGTCTTCCTCCTGAATACATACCTCTTCATCCAGAGGCAGACCTCCAAGTCCCAAGGTATCACAAAGCCAATTTCAGCTTGACCTGTGCTGTGTAGCTGGGAGCACATCCCCAAACCTTTCTCAGCCTCCTTTCTCAATCATTCTCCAATCACCAGTTTCAACCTAATAGGGGCCTTTCTCTATTCCAGACCAGAAAACCACCTTCTATTCTTCGTACTACTTCCTCCCTTACAGCCATCCTGGGACCCAGTCACAGTTCAATCAACCTAGTATAAGCACCTAGCCTGCCTCCCCTTAAAGCTCAAAAAACACCCACTGGAGTCTCAGATGGGGCCACATGGAGGTCAAAGGTAAAAGCAATCTTGCATCAACTCAGCCTTGACCTATCTTCCAATCCCCCTTCCCCAAAGCCAACGATGCATGGACAGTATGGGTGTTTTGCTTTCTTTCGCAAACAGAGGAGGGAAAGGTTGACCTGTAAAAACGGTGTTACCATGACTCCTGTCTACCAACAAGTGCTGCCCTCCTCTGCCCAGCATCATCTTCCCATATTCCTCTCAGCCCTCAGCCAGAGGAAGGTGTTGCGATTTCTCGGGCCTCTAGACTGACTGTTCCACCCAAGAAGCAGAGGCCAAGGAGTGACAGCTGCTCCTGATCTCCCTTCCACCCACCACCACCCTCACATACCATCCCCCACACACACACACTCCAGGGTGCAGAGCAATGTCCCCCCCCCCATCTCTGCATCCCACCGCCAAGATTAAAAAGGAGAGACTCAAGTTGCCCAATGGAGCCCTGTTCACTAACAAGAGCACTGGTCCAGAACCTAGTTCAAACCATTTCTGAGAGACACTGGGGAGGCTCTGGTTCTGGCAATGTGTCCTTTAGTATCGCCATCGCTGTGGGTGTGGCACTCCCCACCCCATTATTATTGTCTTCTTGGGGGACAAGAGCAGCAGGATGGGCCTCAGACGTACCCATACCGAGCGCAAGACAGGGCTCTGTCTGTCTGAGATAATGCCCGGCGCTCTGAGCTCGTCCGCCTGGCTGACGCAGGAGTCTCCGGAGCCGACACTCCCAACATCAACATCCTCCTCAGGATCGTGCCCAGGCACCGGAGGCTCGGTGCCTAGTCTTCCAAGGTCACACAGAGACGTAGAGACCAGGTGGGAAGGGGACGCCAGCCCTATTTACGTCCCCGCCCTCAGGTGTCACTTGTACCCCAACAGCTAACCGTCATTTGTGCCCAGGACCCCACATCCCCCACCCCATTCCGCTTCTGCAGAGTTCTCCAGGCCAGAAAGCAGAGCCTCCAGCTCCAGCACGGAGGGGGAGCTCAGACCCGAGAGCCGACTCTGTGCACTAGGTGAAGCCGGGAGGGCCCATCTCACCTTGCGGGAGAGCACCGCGGCCAGGCGGGCAGGAACGACCACGGACACAGCGGCAACAGCGGAGCAAGCTCTAGAGCGCGAGGAAGAGCCCCGCGCCGCTGCAGCCCCGCGCCACGCCTTCTCCTTCTTCATTGGCTTGAGGGGCGGGGAGGGGCGGGGCTATGGCACTTCAGACCAATGACTTGGCTCTAAGAACCACCAATGAGCGAGGGGCTCCCCGTATCACGTGGGCGCGGAGGCTGCACCCCACGAGTCGGCGTCATCCTAGCCGCACGAGCGCTGGCGGGGAAGCGGGAGGGCAGCTGGCAACCGCTGGTGGACGCCGACTACAGCGGCCTTCCACACGAGGCTTTCGAGCCGCGGCAGTTTTGTCTAAGAGCTATGCAATCATCTTTCCCAATCGACTGGATCTGGATTTCACTGTCTTCCTTTCCCACCGCATTCCAGATAAACATGAGAACAAAGAAAGGCACGCGGTGTGGGAGTGGGGGAGGGAGCCTATGCGGGCGCTCCCGGGGACAGGAGCTTCTGCTCTCAGTCTCCAAGGAGGCGGTCGCCATGGCAGCGGGATGCGCATCGACCCACCCTACAGGGTGTGGGCGTCTCCATAAAGCACGTGGGTAAGAGGCACAGCCAAGGGTTTTGGATTTTTGCCCCGGGCCCACCTGTCGGTGCGTGAATTTCTCTACCCTTATATGCACTGACGTCCAGAACACACAGTGAAAATTTGCTTGCTTTTCCAATAGAATGTGGTCCCTGCCTTTGAAGAGTCCTCAAGATCCAGACCTTGTGTCTTCATGGCCATTAACTTGATACCTGACCCTCTTGTCTGCTATTGTTTTCATAGCATGCTTGCCTTGTTTCAGAGGGCCCAGAGCTTCTCAAACTTTTATCAGTGTTTTGGGTGGTACGTGCGCTCCCTACTGTTGAGAAAATTCTGTCCTCCAGCGCGGACATTGAGAATTTTTCATTCTAATTCCAGCCTACTCAACCCCCACTCCCACCTTTCCATAAACTCTGTCATGTATTCCCCTGTGTCTGCTCTTGGCCAAGTCAGTAGAACTGATGTATAATTACTTCTCCGTCTGTTTGCCCCTAGTTCACAAAGAGATTCTGATTTCCAGTCTTCTCTTGAAATATCAGATCTAACAATATATACTCACATTCACATTCCAGATAGGAACCAGGGCTTTGTAATAGTGGTTTCTGCCTCTTCGGTAGAAGACATCATTGCCATAGTTTCCTCTGATCCCTATTTCTCGGGTTTATTTTACTGCCTGTGTTTGTGCTGACTTTTCTCTTTTCATACCCTTCACTTGAAATTCATCTTTTAGTGAGAAACACAGACGAGTTGCCAACAGTTCAAAGTCTGGGGCCATTTTCTATTTGTCAACTCCTTTTAACCAGTTTCTTGGATACATAAAATGAGCAAGTTACTGTGCTTGGCTGCTCCCAGTGTAAGGTACCCACAGTTTACTGTGAGAACACCACATTTTTAAAAGACCGGTGCTTTCCTGCCAACACTCCTCACAGTCCCAGACTCTGAGCATCTTGGCTACCTGGGAAAACCTGTGAGATGGAGCTGCCTGTACTAGGGCGTGCTGCATGCTTCCAGAAAGAACACAGATGGTTCTGGGAGTAAGTTTTAGGTGTCATGAGAACACCAAGTTAGAAGTTGCATGGCTGTTTTGTTGCTTCTCGATGGGCCTGTGCACCAAGAAGAAGGTATGCCAACATCAGAAATGCCCTAGCCTATAAGATTCCTGTGCCCGGAGCCTTATTCAAAGCTAGGACACCAGGCTCTGTGGAGTTGGAGACCGCTCCAAGTTAAGAAAACATACAGGGTACATGGAAAACTTCACTTCCATCTCCAGAGTACTCTGAGCTTTATTAAAAAAAAAAAAAAAAAAAAAGCTGAAATCAATTTGGAAAACTTATAATAGATATCTAACAAAGCTGATAGATGCTTGGAGTCTAGAGAGATGGCTCAGTAGTTGTAAGCTTTTGCTGCTCTTACAACCAGGATTTGAGTCAGGTGGGGTGTGGTGTGGTGGTGCACACCTTTGATCCTAGCACTGGGGAGGCAGGGACAAATGGATCTCTGTGAGTTTGGGGCCAGCCTGGTCCACAAAGAACAGCCAGGGCTGTTACACAGAGAAACCCTGTCTCAGAAAACAAAGAAACAAGCAAACCCAGGAGGGATTTGGTTCCCAGCACCTGCAGTCACAACTGCTTGTGACTCCAGTTCCACACACACACATACACATGTGCCCGACCGGAGAGGCAGTCAACAACGAACCAGGGAACACCTAGAAGAAAGCGGGGGTGGGGGTGGGGGTGGAGGTGGGGGGTGACACGGGACAAGGGATACAAAGAATGAACAGTGAGACAGTATTCTGATCAAGCTGGCAAATTTTATATTTTATTTTCTCAGGGGAGGCTTATTATATAGTTCTGTGGACAGGATGTGAGCAGAGTTTGTAGGTAACCAGGGCATGGGCACTGGCATGTAAGCAGAGTGAGAAGGTCAGTAGAAGGAATACCCTAAATTGTTTAGTTAACCTGTAATTGGCTGTAAATTGCAGCAGTAGAGATAGCCCTGGGCTATTTTTTAGCTGGCTGTGAAACTGCAAGCCTGTACCTTGGAATGGTCTGCTGAACATCCTGTTTATTTTTTAGGAGGGAATAATTTTCTATCTCAGATACCTGAGGTTGTGAGGATGGTGATGGTCCCCAACACAAAATTAATTGTTTTTGGTTTCCAAGATAGGGTTTCTCTATGTAGCTTTAGAACCTGTCCTGGAACAGGCTGGCCTCCAACTCACAGAGATCCACCTGCCTTTGCCTCCTGACTTCTGGAATTAAAGGCATGTGCCACTACCACCTGGCTGAAAATAAATTTTTGGTGTTAACAATATTATTTCTCTCAATATGTGTATATACATATGAATTTTATATATACATATATATATGTGTGTATATCAGCATTTGTGATGGCCCAAATTGAAATAATTCAAATATATATATTGGCAATAAAATAAGCAAATTAATTACACTATGTTTATATAATTATGCCAGTGACAAAGAACATGCTGAATACATGCAACAATATGGATGATTCTATAAGACAATATTGAGCAAAAGATACCAGACATGCAAAAAAAAAAAAAAAAGAATGTACACTCTTGAATCTTAGTGTGCTTGTTTTTGTAAATACATGTATGTATTTTTCTTGAGTATATGTCTTGGATTTGCTGGTATATTACTTTATAAAGTGCTACTTAGCTAGCATGAATTTTTCAAATTCCTTTTTTTTTCTCTCTCAAATTCCCTTCCACATATGTTTTGAATAAGGGTGGTGGGCCACAGCAGACATTTTTGCATGAAATTTAAAGATAGGAAGAAAAATAGCAGCAATATAGAATTTGACATTTATAGGCTCCAAGGAAGAGCCCCCGCAGGCTTTGTTGATCTGCTGACTTACCTCTCTGACAGGGAGTAGCAGCTATGCCCACAAGGACTCTCTGTTTCCCTTATCTTCCTTCAGGTCAGATGACAAAGTGGGCCTGCTGCTTCTGCAGGTTCCCCCGAAAGAAGACTGAAGGCAATGAGAATTGGTACAACTTTCCCTTTGTTCAAGAGCTTTACCCCACTGTGCCCCACTTTGCATCCATCTTACCCTCCCAACTCCTAATGTGTAAGCTTGAAACTCCAGCATTAGATACAAAAACATTGACTTTACAGGGGCCAGGGGCCGTTTGGCCTATAATCCCTGCTACTTGGGAGCCTGAGGCATGAAGATCAAACATTGCAGATTCATCAGTGCTCAGAGTGAGTTGAAGCCAGTCTGGACAAATTAGTGGGATCATGTCTCAAAATTTAAAAAAAAAAAAAAAAAATAGTTGAGTGTGTGAATGGGAATGTATCTCAGAGGGAGAATGCTTGCCCAGCATGGGTAAGCCCCCCACCCCCACCCTGTGCTCATTCTCTAGTACCACAAAAGAGGTATACGAGCCTCACGGAGACTGTCTAACCATCTTCAAAAGTTAGCTGTATTTGAATCCCTGTGAGAAATGTCCTATGGTGATGGAGACATGGCACAGTGGTTAGGGGTATGTGTTCTCCTTGCACAGAACCCAAGTTTGTTTCCTAGCACCCACTTCAGACAGCTCACAGTAACTTTTAACCCCGGATCCAAAGGTGCCTCTGGCTTGCATAACACCTATGCTCGATAAGTAAAAATGAAAAGCCTGCTTGGACTTAAAGTTGAAAAGGACGCTTGAACATCCTTTCAGAGTGTTCTAACTTTTTTGAGATGGGGTCTCTCTAAGCAGTCTTCAACTTAAAATCCTGTTCATCCACTTCCTGAGTTCTGGGATTGTAGGCATGAACCAACCACACCTACAAGCCCAGCAGTGGGTGGGACTGTAGTAGGTCTGGGGTACTTCGTGCCTTTGTTATGTTTCTTCTCCTCTACACACAGGGAAGTGTGTTACATTCTGTGTTCTGCACCTCTTGTAGATCTGTGAAGATTCATTTATGAACGAATTTAACTGGGCCACAGGGCATCTAGTCACTTAATCAGCGTTGTTCTAAGTGCTCTGTGGGAGTGTTCTGGGACATCAATAGGGGAGTGAATCAGATCCACCCTATCTTCTGTGGGTAGGCTGGCCTCATCCAATCAGCTGAAGGACTGAGTAGAACACAAAGGCTAATGGTCCCTTAGGCATAAGAGAATTCTTATAATCTGATGGCTTTTGAACTGGCACCTCAAACTCAGCTCCACCCAACCTCTTCAGACTCAGGCAGAAACACTGGCTCTTGCTGAGTCTTGAGCCTAAGCCTAATGGCCTTTGTACCAGAACTATCCCATCAGCTCTCCTAGTTTTCAAGCTACAGAATCTTCATGGGAACTGAATGAATCATTTACCTTCTCGTACCTATACCAAGTCAACCTGCTGACCAGAGAACTCACCAGCCACCATAACTTTTGTGAGCCAACTCCTTATACCAAAGCAATCAGTCTCCTTCTTTCACTTCTGCTTTATGCTGACTTCAAACAGTTCTTTTCTGGAGAACCCTGACTGATACAAAATTCTTCCATGTTGCTATGTTGAAATTTTCCTCTCTTTTAGCTACATAAAAATCCTGCTTGGATAGTTATTTCCTATTTTTACTATTAGTAATAGTAATGTAGCAATTAGTAGGCTCATACCCTAATAACTGTACTGTATAAGGCGTTATCTGAAGGACAAATTTTATAATTGGGTTTGCCAGGTTAAAGAATGTTATATGTGGTGGCATATGCCTGTAATACTAGCACTCTGGAGACAGAGACTCTACAAATTTGAGGCCAGCCTGATCTATTTAGCAAGCCTTAGGCTAGCTAGGGAGAAACTGCCTCAAACAAAATAGATAAATATATCTGTCCTGATATTATGACATTGTTACAAAAAAGAGCATGGTTGGCTCATAGCAGAGGCAAACACCAATAACTTGTGGCATTCCTTTGTTTGCTTGTACTGTGCAGTGCTTCCAAAAAATAAATTACCAGTTTTTCCATTGATGAGGGAGTGAAGCAACTGGCTGTCTTACCTTGCTAATTGGAGTTTCCGTAAGTACAAACACTTCAGATAACTGTTTGGGTATTTTCTACAAACAGATAGGTGGCTATGTTTTATGTTAGGGTCCCAATAGAAGTATAGAAGAAATTTGTTTTTACTTTTTGTATTTTATTCCTTTGCACCCCACCCCTCCTAAAACAAATGTATGTATGTATTTATTATTTTTGAGACAGGGTTTCACTATTTAGCCCTGACTAGCTTGGAACTCATTATGTAGACCAAATTGGATTTGAACTCACAGGATCTACAAACCTCTGCTTCCCGAGTGCTGAAGCGAACAGTGTGTACTACCAAATCTGGGGTGTTTTGTGTGTGTGTGTGTGTGTGTGTGTGTGTGTGTGTGTGTGTGTTTAAATCATGGGTATGCTTAATCTGTTCAAAACATTAACTAACAATTTTTTGATGTCATTTACATGCTTTCTCTCCTACAGGATTGTCAGCCTGATTTTTGCTCATCTTTTTTGTTTGTTTGTTTGTTTTGTTTTGTTTTTTGTTTGTTTGTTTTTTGGTTTTTTGAGACAGGGTTTCTCTGTGTAGCCCTAATTTTCCTGGAATTGCTCTGTAGACCAGGTTGGCTTTGAACTCACAGAGATCTGCCTGCCCTGCCTTCAGAGTGCTGGGATTAAAGGCATGCACCACCAATGCCCATCTTACTCATCTTTAAACATTTGGGAAATTATGGAATGAATAAACCAGAAGAAATCAAAATTTATGAGTTCAGAGAATAACCTGTGAGAGTAAGTTCTCCCTTCTACCATGTGGGTCCTAGGCATTGGACTCAAGGTGCCTTTATCTGTTGAGTCATTTCACCCGACTATTATAATTTGTTGTTAAATTTTTGTTTGGTTCCCAGTTAGTGGGACTGTTTGGGGAGGATTAGGAGGTGTGGCCTTGCTGGAGTGGGTGTGACATTGAGGTGGACTTTGAGGTTTCAAAAGTCATTACTAAGGCCAGCCTTGCTCTCTCTCTTCCTACAACTTGTAGATTATGTGAGCTCCCAGCTACTGCTCCAGCACCATGCCTTCCTGACACCAAGATCCCCAACATGTTGATCAGAACTCACCCTCTAAAACTGTAAGGAAGCCCCAATTACATGCTTTCTTTTCAAAGTTGCCTTGACCATGGTGTCTCCTTATAGCAACTAAGAGAATCCCTAACTCCCAACCTTTTCTTTTTGAGAGACGGCCTCATGTAGCCCAGACTGGCTATGGATTTACTATGTAGCCAAGGATAATATTGTCTTCCCAGTCCTCATGCCTCTGTCTCTCAAGTGCTGAGATTACAGATATTGACAACCGCACCTTGTTTATGTGGATCTACAGATTGAACATGGGGTTTTTCGTATACTAAGTAAACATCCTACCAACTGAGATACAGTCCCCAGCACATTCTTAATATCATTCAGCCATTGGTTCCATAAATAATTCATATATACAACCCCCCAACCTGCCCCAAGAATGAAACCATTGCAAATAACATAAACTGAGTTTCTTCAATCTCTTCAGCCTCCTCTCAAAGGAAACTACCACTGCCCTTGAGTTTGTTCTTTCATTACCATAAAAGGAAAAATAGACAGTAGAATTTGTCTACTGTCTATCTGAGGCAGGAGGATCACAAAAGAAAAAATAGCACCAACAATTCCTGATGTTAATGCCAGTGCATAACTCTTCCCTACATGTGGACCCCATGACATGCTTCTAATAAGCAGAATATAGCAAATGTGTTGGGATGTCACTCTATGATTACATTAGATACATTAGATAGTAGTAATTTCCATCTTGCTACCCACTCTTTTAAAAAACTCTTTCTGATGATGTGTATGTGTGAGTATTCACCGATGTGCAGATGCCCTCAGAGGCCAGAGGTTGATACCCCAATCAAACTGGGGTTACAGGCTGTTGTGAGTCCTAGTTCTCTTAACCACTGACCCTTAGCTCTAGCCCTTTAATTAAAAAAAAATTTTTTTTGAGCCAAGAGTCTCTACATAACAGCCCTGGCTGTCCTGGAACTCACTCTGTAGACCAAACTGGCTTTGAACACCTGCCTCTACCTCCCAAGCGCTGGGATTAAAGGCCTGCGCCACCACCAACAACCATCAATTAGTTGAAACAGGGTCTCAATACATAGCCCTGACTAACCTTGAACTTGCCATGTAGACCAGACTGGTCTTGAGCTCACAGAGATCCGACTATCTCTGCCTCCTAAGTGCTGGGATCAAGGCAGGCACTACCATGACTGGTGTGCTAACCCACTCTCACGTGCTGGCTTTGGTAAGACAAGCTACCATGGCACCAGTTGAGATGGCTCAGTGGATAGAGCCATTTGCCACAATCCGAGTTGTGATACATATGTAGGTCAGAGAACATCTTGTGAAAGTCAGTTTCATTTTCTCTTTCTACTATGTGATCTCAGGTTCTTTGACCAACATATACGCACTGTGGCAGGCATACTTAAATGTAAAATGCAAATTTAAAAACATTTAAAGTATGCTACCATACTGGAAATGGTCAAGGAAATTAGAACAGTCACAAGCCAATGATCGTCAGCACTGAAGCCCAACAACCCTCAAGGGACTGATCTGTTAACAAAGTGTGCCTCCTTCCCCAGTTGAGCTTGAGCCTGAGGATGAGGTCACAGTTCTAGCTGTCACCTCAGCCTTAACCTTGTAAGCACCCTGGAAGCTGAATATCCAACTGAGCCGTCCTCAGATTTGACCCCCCCCCCAAAAAAAAAAGACAAATCCTGTATTGATTCAAGGCTTTACATTGGTAGCAATTTGTTACACGGTAATAGATAACCGATATAACTTCCTTTTAATTCTTTTCCTTTTTCCACTTATTGTAAGCTCATATATATGTTTGTGCACCACATGTGGGGATGGTGCCCATGGAGGTCAGAAGAGGGTGCTGGAGCCCCTGGAACTGGAGTGATGAAGGGACGTGAATCACCATGTGGGTGCTGGGAATAGAACCTAGCTCCTTGCAAGAACAACAAATGCTCTCAACAGCTGAGCCCATCTCCAGCCCATCGTTTCAGCTCTGTATCATTGTTGTAGTATGTCTCCCAGAACAAAGGGTACAATAGTTTCTCCCATGCAATATGCTGAATGTATGCCTGCGAATGGAACTGCCCGACCTCAGGATTTACAAATGTTCAGTGTTATTGTCAGTTAGCAGATCTTTAGAATGAAGGTCTTACCATGGTCAGGGTGTCTTGGTCAGGGTTTCAAGTGACATGTAGCCACTGTTCATAGGATTGAGATCAGTGTGTGGACAGAGTTGAAAGTCATACAGAAAGCTAAAAATAAAGAGAGTCCATGGGCAAGGGTGGGAACATAAGTGGCCACAATTGGTGAAAGTCTGCAGCTTGGGTTTGGACAAGGTTGGAGGATACTGGAGGGAGGCTGGGGGGTAGAGTTGGGGTCACCCAGTGCTAGAGGTTGGCTGTCAGACTTTACAAAATCTGCCCCCAGGCAGTACCATCAATCTAATAAGCAGTGGGACCCATAACATGAGACCGGCCCTGGGTCCACAAGGTCTTTACGAGACAGGTGAAAGGGATGAAGGACAAGGCAGGAACTCACTGCCCTTGACCCATCCAGGGGGGGGGGAGGAAGGCAGGCACAGAGAAAAGTGCAACAACACCACCTTTAATAGACAACTCTGCCCTATCTTCCCCAGGCACTCCTTTTATCACTCCATTCTAGGAGGGCTATTGTGTAGCTGGATGTCTCTTATTCCTGGCTTCTTCATTCAACGCTTTATCCCTTCCTCTCCAGCTGTTGTGGTCTCCAACCCTGTGATGGGTCCCAAGTAAGCACCCAGGAGGGGCAAGAGAATCCCTCGGCTTCCGAGGGTAGCTTCTCGAGTGTCTGAGGCCATGGAGAATTAGCAAGGATGGAGTCGGCGCTATCCTCTAAGCTGAGAAGGGAACCAGAGGACCGCCTCTCCAGGCCCAGCGCTGGGAGCCTCAAAGTGGACACGGTTTGGGAGATCATGCCGTGTGTTCGTACAGGTTTTCTGGGCTGTGAAAAGTGGTCTTTTCTCCTGGCCCGGAGGGAGTATAAGAAGGAGGATCAATCCCAGGCCTCGGCTTTGAGCATCCCTCCGTTCGCCCGAACCCTCCGCAGCCTGGCGCCGCAGCTGCAGGGGGCGCGAGTGAGCAGCTCGCTCCGCCCTCCCAATCCTGCCTCCGCAGGTGAGTGGGTAGGTCGCGGTGTCGGGGCTCCGGCGGGTACTGGGAAGCCCCGCAGCCCAGGCACCGCTCACCGCTGCTTGCGCTCCGCCTGCTGGAGCCTCCGGGACAGGTCATCGATGCGCACGTTCTTCAGTTGGAGCAGATGTTCCAGACGCTTCACCTTCATCTGCAGGACCTGGGTGGGGGCGCAGAGACATCAAGCAAGAAGGCCTGTTGTCCTGCAGGTGTTTTGCCCATGCAGACCTCAAGCTGCCCTTAGGTCTCAATGTCCCCTTCTCACCTGCACCGTCTCTTGAGAGGCCAACAGCTCCTGCTCCTTTTCAGCGATCTGAAGGAGGAAGCTTGGATCTCCTTGCAGCGCCTGGTTATACCCAGGGGGTCGAGGCGCCTGTGGCCGGCCCCCTCTGCGGTGGGTAGGAACTTAGCAGAGGCCTGGGCATCAACACCCTTCCTTTCCCGCAGTCATTCCCATATCCTGTGACCAGGCCTGCCCATTTTGCCGCCTCACTACCTCCCCAAAGACCAAGGCACTGCCACACTAGTCTGTGTGGACAAGTTACTAAGCCTGGTGAAGTCAGAACTCTCAACTTTACCTGAGCTGCTCTCCTCCCAGGGCTGGAGCACCGTCTCCTCGAGCCTTCTGGGACAAGCCTAAGACAAAGCAAGTGGAGGAGTAACCTTGCTGGAGTCCCCATTACCTCTCTCCCTCTGACCCTAAAGTCGATTAAAGGGATGTGGGGGAAAGCTTTCCTGAGATAAGGGAAAGCCACCTTACCCATATCCATGTAGCCACTGCCATCCTGAGGGGCCAGCTCCTGAAAGAACAGATGTGATCTCCTGTGAACCTGGGCTCATCTGCCTCCAACAAGCCCTGCTTTGCCTCTACAATCCTGTAGGGTTCTCTTAGCTAGGCACCCCTATCTTCCTATTCATCTCCACTGTCTGGGGAGCATCCCTTGCACCCCAATCAGCAGGTTCAAGCAACACCACCTGTAAGGAGCCAGCACCCAGCTTCTGGCGCCTTTGCCGCTCCTCCAGGCGCTGTTTCAGCGGTATGAGCACCAGCTCCACTACACCGGGAGAACACTGCGCAATCTTCCGCATCACGTCATCAGGGACGGAGAAGTTTAGCTTGTTCAGCACCTTTCTAGGGAGTGAATACAAGAAGGGTGGAGTGAGTGGGTCCTGGGGAAATGAATGGAGGACAATGGGAATGAAGGGGACATAGCCCCAGGGGACTGGAAGGACAGACATCTAAACCTCCTCTGCTTGAAGTTTCCATCCCAATAAAATAATTACTTGAATTATTACTAAATGGATTCTGCTGTATTGTGTTGTCCTCCACAGCAGTTCCAGCCTGCCTGTCAAGACATAGGAAGTTTTTTATTTATTTGTTTTTTGTTTTGTTGTTGATGTTGCTTTTTTTTGTCTTATTTTGAATTGTTAGGGACTAACCCAGGGATGTAGATTAGTGGAATACATACATACATACATACATACATACATACATACATATTCTACATCCCCAGGCAAGGTCTGGTGCACTTGAGGCTAGTGCACCCCTGCTGAGAAGCAGGCAGGGGCTGCAGAGTTTATTTCCCTATCCAGGGATTTTACTACCTGTTCAGGTGACCCCAGTTGCTGAGCTTCTGCTGGAGAGAGTTGGCAGGGACATAATTGTGCATCTCCACCATCTTGGGGAAGTAAAACTTGATAAGCTCTGCAACCAGGACTGAGGGAGTAGAGTTGGGAACAGACAAGAAAGGCAGGGGCATGGGTCAAGGAGCAGGGATGGAAATTCAGAAGAAGGGAAGGTTGATAAAAAGGAGACAAAGAAAGCAAGATCAATGATCACATCAAGATTCTACATTTCCTAGAGAAATAGCATCTTCCTTTCTAGCTCAGGGCACAAAAAAACTGAGAATCTCCCAGAAGGCCCTACAGAAGTCTGCAGCCATATCCTAGGAATTCACAAGGATGGATACAAACAAACACACACACACACACACACACACACACACACACACACTCACACACACACGTCTCAGGAGAACACAGATTTACACAAGCAGAAAAACAAGATCCTACTGTGCTAAGAGTAGCACAGTTGGCAGGGCATTTGCATAACATGTACAAAATGCTGCTCTCGATCCCCGGCACCATATAAACAAGCTGTGGTAGCACATGCCTGTCATCCCATCACACAGAAGGCAGGAAAATAATGAGTTCTGAGCTACAGAGCAACTCTATGTCTCAAAAATGCCCCTCTACAGGTATTTTTAGGGCAGAATATATAGACACATGTATAGACACAAAGAACAAATAAATGCCAGACATACATGGGTGCACACATAGAATACATACAAACATAGAACCACATATACACTAGCCTCCTTAATTATATACATAAAAATGCCTACCAAACTATGCATTTCTCAAATACAGGAGCCTATCCTGAAGAAAAAAAAAAAGCATACAATCACACACACACACAAACACATGTACATTTAGGACAGAACGTGTCAATACAAAAGAACACAAGGTAGGGGTGTAACTCAGTTGGTGGCATGTTTGCACAGCATTCATAATGCCTGGGTTTGACTTCCTAGCACATTAAAAACAAACAAGAGTGGTGGTACATTCGTATAGTCTCAGAATTTGGGAGACACAGGAATGTAGTAGAGGTGGGAATTCAAGACTCTAACACACACACACACGCGCGCACACACACACACGCACACACACACACGACAGACTGCATAGGTTCACAAATACATACCCAGACACACAGCTTAGTCCTTAAAGCCCCTGAAGGGAGACGCAAAGACACACTCTATGCACACAAGGTATAATGGTCATACATGTTCACATACGAATAGAAGAAACATGCAAGTGCACACTTCCACGATCAAGTTCCAAAACACAGATTCCCACTCCTGCCCCATTCTACACACACACATAACAAAAATGATATCATACACACAAATCCATTACAGATACATAAAAACAGAACATGTTTTAAACACACAACAATGCACACCTCCGTCACTGAAGTCCCGGGAGAGGTTTCTCTTGGGTCGGGACAGAGGGATGTTGTCTATCCACAGGTACAGCTGGTGCAAAGCCTCCTCATCCACGCTGCTTGCCATTGGCTCCTGGGCAAGGCCTCACCGTTCCCCGCAGAGCCCAATGCCAGCCCCAGGACCCTTCAAGTGCCTCCTCTCGCCACTGAGAACGTTCAGATCTACGTTTACTTCCCTACTCCGCACAGACTCAAATCCCATCTGGGAGCAGCCATATTGTTTTCCGAAACCATAGCAACCGTCGCTACTTGCCTGGAAACAGAGACTTCTGGGAGTTGTAGTTTTTCCATATTACCTTCCCCCTGGGCCCCAGCTTTGAAAGGACAGTTAGCTGTATTTATCTTCCTTTGTCCCCAAGAAGGCATCACCTGTCTGTGCACATCACTTGCTGACCAATCACTGACCCATTCTAGGCTTTGCCAAAACCAACTATGTCCCCTTCTGTCCTAAAGGAAGCAGCATCTCCACAGCGTTGGGGGTAGGCAGGGGCATTCTGCTAATCTGACACCTACCGACACTATATGATAAATTGTCTATTTTTAAAAACATTTTATTTTTGTATGTGTATGGGTTTTTACCTGTACGTAATATCTGTGTACCATGTGCGTTCCTGGTGCCTGCAGAAGACAGGTGTTGGATCCTCTGGAACTAGAGTTGCAGATGGTTGTGAGCCACCATGTGGGTTCTGGGGATAAAACCTAGGTCCTCTGGAAGCACAGCCAGTGCTCTTAACCACTAAACCACTTCTCCTGCCCCTAAACTGTTTAATAGTGCTTCCTCACTAGCTCCCTCCCCAAAGCCCTGTAGACCTACGGTCATTGCCATTTCCTCATCCCAGCAATGTATGCTACTGGGCCATTTACTATGTTACAGATTCCCAGGGAGAACATTGGCAAGTCATTTAATTCCTTAATCCTATTTCCTCCATTGTAATATAGAAAGTTTCCATCTACTTGTCCCAATGATGTACTTGGAAAGAAATTTACAAAATATAAAAAAAGTATAATCAGCCTGTATTTGTATGGGGATTGGGGATTAGAAGTCAGCTGTACACATGAAAGCAAGAGTTTCTATAGACATTGTCACATCCCTCATCTTCCTCCAAAGGGCCATTCTATGATGGACTGGAAACTGATTTCTGCAACCAGGAGGGGTAGGAACATAGGTCCCTCCTTAATGAAGGAATACAAAGTAAGTGCTTCTAGACCCTGCCTGAGGAGGTTTGCTTCCAACAGGCTAATGATGTGACTTTGGGCACACATTTCTGCCTGTTTGTTGTGGTTTTTGTTACCTCATAAGGGCATCTGAGTGTTTGACTCCTGGCACAAAGAAAGGACCCGATCAACATCAGCTTGTGTTCAACATTGGGACCAGTAGAAGCTGTTCTTATTGGTGGGAGACAGATCAAAGTGATTTGCCTTAGTACTTGAGATAAAGGACCTAGACTGTCCAGGGGCATCTAAAGAAAAGGCCACTTCTCCCTCCAACTTTCTCCAGAGCAGGCCCAGTGGGTAGGCTAGGCTTTCTAGTCTCCTCCTTCCGCATTCCAATTAGAGGAAGGGGTGATGCCAAGTGAAATCCCAACTCCTTTGCTTGACTTTGTGTCAAAACTTTCAAGAGGGAAAGTTTGGCTCAGCAGGGAGGCTCTTGCCTAGGTTGCTATAGGCCCTGAGTTCTTCTACCCTAGTAGTAATACAAACAAAATTTGCATTAAAAAAAAAAAAAACAGCAACTAATTTTCAAGACTTGGAGAGAAATCCCTAGTGTCAGAAATACAAAAGGCCCAAACATTTATGGCCAGCCTTTTGGGAAGGAACCACACCCAGGACAAACAAGGCACAAAGGATGACTGGGCCATCCCCCACCCCCTTACATTCCAGTGTAGGGAGAACTTGGTGGCTGGGGTATGTTGGGGATTGGGAAATTACCAGAGGTAATATGCCAGCCCTAAGAAAGGTGGGAAAACCGGTTTGGGACTCAGAGTTACCTACCCGGCTCAGGTCTTCCCTGGCTGGAACCTGTGGGCCCCAGTAAGGGAGAGCCATGAGGGGAGGGGCTGGGCTCTGAAAGAAGGACATGCCCTCACCTTTGGACTGGAATGGCCCTGCACAGTGAGCTACCAATTCATGGGAGGTGCAATGTTTCCTAGTAACTTCAACTTCATCCTGTCGCTGTCCTCAAAGGTGACTAACAGACTTGAAAATCCAATCACGTGGGCAGCCTGAAGAACTCCCTCTTAAGGTAAAACAATTGTATGCCCCTCCAACTCCATCCTGGCCTGAGGCAGTTCCAAAGCTTTTCTCATTCCCTCTTCACTCCTTCATGGACTTTCTTTAACTAGCTTTGGTGGGCTCAGTCATCAGGTGCATACTGCCTGATCTGCCCCAACAGACTACTGTTTCCCTCTCTACTGCCTGACTCCAGTGACCCAAGCATCTCGTAACATCAAAGGAATTTAAGGTTAGGGTTCCTGAAGTCTATCAAAAGATGTAACGTTAAAGACCTTCCCTTCCCAGAATTCTCTAACTTTTAGATGTATCCCTACCTGCCACCCCAGTCATGGCCATCTGCTCAAAATATTGTTTCCATGTCCCACTACAGCAAGAACCAAGGGGAACCTGGAAAGGACGTGTCCCCCAAGATAGACGCAAGCCCAGATCATGAAGGATGCATCCTTGGCTGTTAAAACATTCACTCCCACAAAAGGGGAGTGGACAGATTTATTGAATTCAAACTGGGAAGGGAGCACCTGGACGGCTGGACTCTGGGCCCAGCCCCAGGCCCCTCTGCCCAGGATGGGGACCTGCAGAGGATGAGGCACAAGGCCTGCAGCTGCCCAGATTGGAAGTGCCTGCTGTCACTCCCCAAGAGGGCCTCTTGGAAACCTCCAGTCTGGAAAGAAAACCAAGGGCCAAAGACTGGGCTAGAGAAAGGGATTTAGGGAGGTGAAAAGCAGGCAGAGGCAGGCTGAAGAGCCTGCCCTAAGTTACACTGTGCTTCTTCAGGCAGCCTAGTGGTGCAGGAGGGGGGGCTGCTAGTTTTGTGGGAGCCTAGGCTGTACCTTCCTCTGGAGCCCTTTCCAGAATGGCTTTGGGATCCCCCCACCAAAGACCTGGTTGGGAGACAGGGGGAGAGGCACTCTCTGGCCAAGAGCTTCCAGGACCCGTCCCTGGCTGCTGTGGTCTAGCCCACTGATGGCATGGTGTGGTAGCACCGGACAGCTCCCCACCCACCCAGTGCCCTGAACCCAGGGACTAATGGGGAGGAAACAGGACTCTGAGAAAGCGGCAATAGCAGTGAGGCAGACCTAGCCCCTGGGCCTGTCTCAGCGCCAGGCAAAGCATTGCTGAAGGCCTTGGGACTTCTCCAGCGGCTGCCCAGAGTTCTCTTGGCCTTGGGCAGGTACTGCCCATCTGGGCTGGAGCACAGCTATGTCCATCAGCTCAGCTTTGATGTCCTAGACCCCGAACTCCCGCCTGCCTGGCATGGTTCTTCCTAGTCACATGGACCAGATCATGTTCCAAGTGAAGGATGTGACTCTGCACGCGGTCATCAATGGGAAAGGAGGTCAGGTACCTCTTTACCATGGCAAAGTAGGCCATGGCCTCCCCAAAGCTGGGTACAGGGACCTCATCACCATCCTCATCATCGTCGTCATCTTCTTCATCCTCCTCATCCTCCTCTTCATCTTCCTCCTCTTCATCACTGTCTGAGTCAGAGTCCTCCCCACCTTCCAGGAAATGGAGGGTTGGGCATTGGGCCTCTTCCTGGACACTGTAACCCCCAAAACCACCACTGGCCTCCACTACTCCCTGGGCCCAGTCTTCAGCCTCTAAACCCTCAGAGGAGCTCTCTTCCTCTTCCTCCTCCTCTTCATCACTGTCATCAACCTCACCCTCCTCTTCTACCTCCTCTTCCTCTCCCACCTCCTCTCCTTCCCCTCCTTCCTCCTCCCCTTCCTCCTCTTCTTCCTCCTCCTCTTCCCCTTCACCCTCCTCCTCTTCTTCTTCCTCCTCCTCCTCTTCCTCCTCTTCTTCCTCTCCCTCACTCTTGAAGGAAGTGGTGATAGTGGCATTAAGGCCACCTCCAAAGCCGGCCTCACGGAAGCAAGTTGCTATGTCGGCGGGCTCCACTGCCTGCCAGGCCGCAGCCACAAAGTGTAGGGCCTCTACCAGGCCCAGCTGCAGGCCTGAGGGATCCTGGCCCTCGAGTGCTGCCATGGCTTTGAGCAACATGGCCTGGCGGTAGTGGCCCTTCACCTGCTGGACCACTCCTCGCTCCAATGGATGCACAGTGCCGGGAGGAAAGAAGGCCAGCTGCACGTGCCGCAGGCCCGAGGTGTCCAAGGACTGGGCAGCCAGACGGCCCGCAAGCAGAAGGACCCGACGAGATTCTGCAGCCATTCGGGTGTCCAGAGCTTTCAAGTACTTAGCCAGGGCCTGGGTGGTGACTCCACCCTTAGAGTTGGCAGTGTAGTCGCAGGGCAGACCACCCTGGCTTGCACGGGGCTTGGCGGACTTGCCTGCCACCAGCGGGGGAAGCTTCTCGCTGCCATCAGCGTTGGCGCACAGCAAAACACTAAGGCGCTGGGTGGCCTGTCGAGCCGTTCCATCACCTCCCCACATCCCCGAGGCCTGGTCAGACAGAAAGTCGTACCACAGGCTGGTCTCGGTGGCGCTGAACACGTCCTGCGAGGCGTAGCCCTCAGCCACCGACGGCGGCTGCTCCTCCCGCGTGCGCCAGCCTGGTGTACTGCCACCGCTGCCCTCGGAGGGCACCGCGGCTGGGCCGGCAGGTGCCGCTGGGGCCCGAGGAGCAGAGCTTCGCGCCCGGGAGCGGGTCACGCCGCTGCAGGCCACTACACCGTGGCGCCTGCGGAAGCGATCCAGCCAGCCGTTGGAAGCCGTGAAGTCGTCCATGCCCAGCTCCTCCGCTATCCGTAGAGCCTTCTCTTTCAGGATGATGCCCTTGACCGGCAGACCCGCGGCGCGGATCTGCTGGAACCAAGCGATGAGAAGCCCCTCCAGCTTGTCGTAGGGCGACAGCTTGTTGGTCTTGCGGCAGGTGGAGGCCACTCCGTACTTGCGCTCCGACGCCAGGATGGCGCGCTTGTTCTTCAGGATGGTGCTCAGCGTGGACGGCGGGATGTTGAAGCGCCGCGCGATCTCGCCCTTCCGTAGGTCCGGGTTCTCCTCCACCTCCTGGATGATCCGCGACTTCTCCCGGAACGTCAGCTGCCGCCGCTTGGGGCCCATCCCGGCGCGCCCTCCGCCCCGGGGCCCGGCACCGCCGTCGCCGCCCCGGGGCGGGGGGCCCGGGCCCGCGGCGGGGGGCACCTGGCGGCCTCTCCGCGCGCCCCGCCCGAGACAAAGCGGCTCGCGGGGCGGCAGCGGGCGGTGGCAAGCGGCGCGGGCGGCGCGGGCGGCAGGACGTGCCCAGCGGGGAGCGCGGCGCGGCGCGGGGCGGAGCGCGCGCGGGATCTCGCGGGAAGCGCGGGGACGC